GTGTGTGTGTCTCTGTGTGTGTGTCTCTGTGTGTCTCTGTGTGTGTGTGTAGGCGTGGAAGCTAGCCCCAGCGCTGGCTCTGGGCAACGTGTGCGTGCTAAAGCCCGCCGAGGAGACTCCGCTGTCGGCTCTGTGTGTGTCTGTGTGTATCTGTGTGTGTGTGTCTGTGTGAGTCTCTGTGTGTCTCTGTGTGTGTCTGTGTGTCTCTGTGTGTCTGTGTGTCTCTGTGTGTGTGTGTGTGTCTGTGTGTGTGTCTCTGTGTCACTGTGTGTGTGTCTCTGTGTGTGTGTGTGTATCTGTGTGTGTCTCTGTGTCTCTGTGTCTCTAGGCATGGAAGCTAGCCCCAGCGCTGGCTCTGGGCAACGTGTGCGTGCTAAAGCCCGCCGAGGAGACTCCGCTGTCGGCTCTGTGGGTGGCCTCTCTGCTGGTGCAGGCCGGCCTGCCGCCAGGGGCTCTTAGCGTGCTGCCCGGCATGGGCGAGGGGGCAGGAGCAGCGCTCGCACGCCACCCGGGGGTGGACAAGGTGGGTGGACTGGTGGGTGGGTGGACTAGTGGGTGGACTAGTGTGGGGTGGGGGAGGGGGGTGGACTAGTGGGTGGGCTAGTGAGTGGGCTAGTGAGTGGACTAGTGAGTGGACTAGTGGGTGGACTAGTGGGTGGACTAGTGAGTGGACTAGTGGGTGGGCTAGTGGGTGGACTAGTGGGTGGACTAGTGGGTGGGTGGACTAGTGGGTGGACTAGTGTGGGGTGGGGAGGGGGGTGGACTAGTGGGTGGGCCAGTGGGTGGGCTAGTGAGTGGGTCTAGGGGGTGGACTAGTGGGTGGACTAGTGGGTGGGCTAGTGAGTGGACTAGTGGGTGGGTGGACTAGTGGGTGGACTAGTGTGGGGGGGGGAGGGGGGTGGACTAGTGCGTGGACCAGTGAGTAGGCTAGTGGGTGGGCTAGTGGGTGGACTAGTGGGTGGACTAGTGGGTGGGTGGACTAGTGGGTGGACTAGTGTGGGGTGGGGAGGGGGGTGGACTAGTGCGTGGACCAGTGAGTAGGCTAGTGGGTGGGCTAGTGGGTGGACTAGTGGGTGGACTAGTGGGTGGGTGGACTAGTGGGTGGACTAGTGTGGGGTGGGGAGGGGGGTGGACTAGTGGGTGGGCTAGTGAGTGGGCTAGTGAGTGGGCTAGTGAGTGGGCTAGCGGGTGGACTAGTGGGTGGACTAGTGGGTGGGCTAGTGAGTGGACTAGTGGGTGGACTAGTGGGTGGACTAGTGAGTGGGCTAGTGAGTGGACTAGTGAGTGGGCTAGTGAGTGGGCTAGTAAGTGGACTAGTGGGTGGACTAGTGAGTGGACTAGTGAGTGGGCTAGTGAGTGGACTAGTGGGTGGACTAGTGGGTGGACTAGGGGGTGGGCTAGTGGGTGGACTAGCGGGTGGGCTAGCGAGTGGACTAGTGGGTGGACTAGTGGGTGGACTAGTGAGTGGGCTAGTGAGTGGACTAGTGGGTGGACTAGTGGGTGGGCTAGTGAGTGGACTAGTGAGTGGACTAGTGGGTGGACTAGTGGGTGGACTAGTGGGTGAGTGGACTAGTGGGTGGACTAGCGAGTGGACTAGTGGGTGGACTAGTGGGTGGACTAGTGGGTGGGCTAGTGGGTGGACTAGTGAGTGGGCTAGTGAGTGGACTAGCGGGTGGACTAGTGGGTGGACTAGTGGGTGGGCTAGTGGGTGGGCTAGTGGGTGGACTAGTGCGTGGACCAGTGAGTAGGCTAGTGGGTGGACCAGTGAGTAGGCTAGTGGGTGGACTAGTGGGTGGGCTAGTGGGTGGGCTAGTGAGTGGACTAGTGGGTGGACTAGTGGGTGGACTAGTGGGTGGACTAGTGAGTGGACTAGGGGGTGGACTAGTGGGTGAGTGGGCTAGTGGGTGGACTAGTGGGTGGACTAGTGGGTGAGTGGACTAGTGAGTGGGTGGACTAGTGTGTGGACCAGTGGGTGGGCTAGTGGGTGGACTAGTGGGTGGACTAGTGGGTGGACTAGTGAGTGGAATAGTGAGTGGACTAGTGAGTGGACTAGTGGGTGGACTAGTGGGTGAGTGGACTAGTGAGTGGACTAGTGAGTGGGTGGACTAGTGGGTGGACTAGTGGGTGGACTAGTGAGTGGACTAGTGGGTGGACTAGTGGGTGGACTAGCGGGTGGACTAGGGGGTGGGCTAGTGGGTGGGCTAGCAGGTGGGCTAGTGAGTGGACTAATGAGTGGACTAGTGGGTGGGCTAGTGGGTGGACTAGTGGGTGGACTAGTGGGTGGACTAGTGAGTGGGCTAATGGGTGGACTAGTGGGTGGACTAGGGGGTGGACTAGTGGGTGGACTAGTGAGTGGACTAGTGAGTGGACTAGTGAGTGGACTAGTGGGTGGACTAGTGGGTGGGTGGACTAGTGGGTGGACTAGTGTGGGGTGGGGAGGGGGGTGGACTAGTGCGTGGACCAGTGAGTAGGCTAGTGGGTGGACTAGTGAGTGGACTAGTGGGTGGACTAGTGGGTGGACTAGTGGGTGGGCTAGTGAGTGGGCTAGTGGGTAGGCTAGTGGGTGGACTAGTGAGTGGACTAGTGGGTGGACTAGTGGGTGGGCTAGTGAGTGGACTAGTGGGTGGGCTAGTGAGTGGACTAGTGGGTGGGCTAGTGGGTGGACTAGTGGGTGGACTAGTGGGTGGACTAGTGAGTGGACTAGTGGGTGGACTAGTGGGTGGGCTAGCGAGTGGACTAGTGGGTGGACTAGTGGGTGGACTAGTGGGTGGACTAGTGGGTGGGCTAGTGAGTGGGCTAGTGGGTGGGCTAGTGGGTGGACTAGTGAGTGGACTAGTGGGTGGACTAGTGGGTGGGCTAGTGAGTGGACTAGTGGGTGGGCTAGTGAGTGGACTAGTGGGTGGGCTAGTGGGTGGACTAGTGGGTGGACTAGTGGGTGGACTAGTGAGTGGACTAGTGGGTGGACTAGTGGGTGGGCTAGCGAGTGGACTAGTGGGTGGACTAGTGGGTGGACTAGTGGGTGGACTAGTGAGTGGACTAGTGGGTGGGCTAGTGAGTGGACTAGTGAGTGGACTAGTCGGTGGGCTAGTGGGTGGACTAGTGGGTGGACTAGTGGGTGGACTAGTGAGTGGGCTAGTGAGTGGACTAGTGGGTGGGCTAGTGAGTGGGCTAGTGGGTGGACTAGTGGGTGGGCTAGTGGGTGGACTAGTGGGTGGACTAGTGGGTGGACTAGTGAGTGGGCTAGTGGGTGGACTAGTGAGTGGACTAGTGGGTGGACTAGTGGGTATAATAGTGAGTGGACTAGTGGGTGGACTAGTGGGTGGACTAGTGGGTGGACTAGTGGGTGGACTAGTGAGTGGACTAGTGGGTGGACTAGTGAGTGGACTAGTGGGTGGACTAGTGGGTGGGCTAGTGAGTGGGCTAGCGAGTGGACTAGGGGGTGGACTAGTGGGTGGACTAGTGGGTGGACTAGTGGGTGGACTAGTGAGTGGGCTAGAGAGTGGACTAGGGGGTGGACTAGTGGGTGGACTAGTGAGTGGACTAGGGGGTGGACTAGTGGGTGGACTAGCGGGTGGACTAGTGGATGGGCTAGCGAGTGGACTAGTGAGTGGACTAGTGGGTGGGCTAGTGAGTGGGCTAGTGAGTGGACTAGTGGGTGGACTAGTGGGTGGGCTAGTGGGTGGACTAGGGGGTGGACTAGTGGGTGGACTAGTGGGTGGATTAGTGGGTGGGCTAGCGAGTGGACTATCGAGTGGACTAGTGAGTGGACTAGAGAGTGGACTAGGGGGTGGACTAGTGGGTGGACTAGTGAGTGGACTAGGGGTTGGACTAGTGGGTGGACTAGCGGGTGGACTAGTGGATGGGCTAGCGAGTGGACTAGTGAGTGGACTAGTGGGTGGGCTAGTGAGTGGGCTAGTGAGTGGACTAGTGGGTGGACTAGTGGGTGGGCTAGTGTGTGGACTAGGGGGTGGACTAGTGGGTGGACTAGTGGGTGGACTAGTGGGTGGGCTAGCGAGTGGACTAGCGAGTGGACTAGTGAGTGGACTAGCCGGTGGACTAGTGGGTGGACTAGTGGGTGGACTAGTGGGTGGACTAGTGAGTGGACTAGCCAGTGGACTAGTGGGTGGACTAGTGGGTGGACTAGTGGGTGGACTAGTGAGTGGACTAGTGGGTGGACTAGTGAGTGGACTAGTGAGTGGACTAGTGGGTGGACTAGTGGGTGGACTAGTGGGTGGACTAGTGGGTGGGCTAGTGAGTGGGCTAGCGAGTGGACTAGCGAGTGGACTAGCGGGTGGACTAGTGGGTGGACTAGTGGGTGGACTAGTGGGTGGGCTAGTGAGTGGACTAGTGGGTGGGCTAGTGGGTGGACTAGTGAGTGGACTAGTGAGTAGACTAGTGGGTGGGCTAGTGAGTGGACTAGTGGGTGGGCTAGTGAGTTGGCTAGTGGGTGGACTAGTGGGTGGACTAGTGGGTGGGCTAGTGAGTGGGCTAGTGGGTGGACTAGTGGGTGGGCTAGTGAGTGGGCTAGTGAGTGGGCTAGTGAGTGGACTAGTGAGTGGACTAGCGGGTGGACCAGTGGGTGGACTAGCGGGTGGACTAGTGGGTGGACTAGTGGGTGGACTAGCGGGTGGACTAGCGGGTGGACTAGCGGGTGGACTAGTGGGTGGACTAGCGGGTGGACTAGTGAGTGGGCTAGCGAGTGGACTAGCGGGTGGACTAGCGGGTGGACTAGTGAGTGGACTAGTGAGTGGACTAGTGCGTGGACTAGTGAGTGGGCTAGTGGGTGGACTAGTGGGTGGGCTAGTGAGTGGGCTAGTGGGTGGACTAGTGAGTGGGCTAGCGAGTGGACTAGCGAGTGGGCTAGTGAGTGGACTAGCGAGTGGACTAGCGAGTGGACTAGCGGGTGGACTAGCGGGTGGACTAGCGAGTGACCCAGCGAGTGACCCAGCGAGTGACCCAGCGAGTGACCCAGCGAGTGACCCACCACCCTGTCCAGGTGGCGTTCACCGGCTCCACGGAGGTGGGGCGCCTGATCCAGGCGGCGGCGGCCGGGGCAGCAGACGGCCCCATCAAGAGGCTCACCCTGGAGCTGGGCGGGAAGAGCCCAGTTGTGGTGATGGACGACGCCGACCTAGACACCGCCGTCGCTGAGTGCCACGAGGCGGTCTTCTTTAACCAGGGGCAGGTGGGTGCGGTGTGGTGTGGTGTGGTGGGTGGGGTTGTGGTGGGGTGGGTGTGGTGTGGTAGTGGGTGGTGTGTGTGGGGTGGGTGGGTGTGGTGGGGTGGGTGTGGTGTGGTGGGTGTGGTGGGTGTGGTTTGGTGGGTGTGGTGGGTGGGTGTGGTGGGTGTGGTGGGGTGGGTGTGGTGGGGTGGGTGTAGTGGGGTGGGTGTGGTGGGTGTGGTGGGTGTGGTGTGGTGGGTGTGGTGGGTGTGGTGGTTGGGTGTGGTGGGTGTGGTGGGTGTGGGGTGGGTGTGGTGGGTGTGGGGTGGGGGGTGTGTGGTGGGTGTGGTGGGTGGGGTGGGTGTGGTGGGTGTGGTGTGGTGGGTGTGTGGTGGGTGTGGTGGGTGGGGTGGTGCGGTGGGTGTGTGTGGTGGGGTGGTGGTGGGTGTGTGGTGGGTGGGTGTGGTGTGGTGGGTGGGGTGGGTGTGGTGTGGTGTGGTGGGGGGTGTGGTGGTGGGTGTGGTGTGTGGTGTGGTGTGGTGGGTGTGGTGTGGTGGGGGGTGGGGTGGGGTGGGTGTGGTGTGGTGGGAGTGGTGTGGTGAGTGTGGTGGGTGGGGTGGTGTGGTGGGTGGGGTGGGTGTGGTGGGTGGGTGTGGTGGGGTGGGTGTGGTGGGTGTGGTGGGTGTGGTGGGGTGGGGTGGGGGGGTGTGGTGGTGTGGTGTGGTGGGGTGGTGGTGGTGGGGGGTGTGGTGGGTGTGTGGGGTGGGTGTGGTGGGGTGGGGTGGGTGTGGTGGGTGGGGTGGGTGGGTGGGTGGGGGGGGGGTGGGGTGTGGGTGGGTGGGTGGGTGGGTGGGTGGGTGGGTGGGGTGGGTGGGTGGGTGGGTGGGTGTGGGTGTGGTGGGTGGGGTGGGTGGGTGTGGTGGGTGGGGTGGGTGGGTGGGGTGGGTGGGTGGGTGGGTGGGTGTGGGTGTGGTGGGTGGGGTGGGTGTGGTGGGGTGGGGTGGGTGTGGTGGGGGGGGGTGGGTGGGTGTGGTGGGTGGGGTGTGGTGGTGGGGGGTGTGGTGGGTGTGGTGGGTGGGGTGTGGTGGGTGGGTGTGGTGGGTGTGGGGGGGGGTGTGGTGGGTGTGGTGGGGTGGGTGTGTGGGGGGGGGGGTGTGGTGGGTGGGGTGGGGGTGTGGTGGGTGTGGTGTGGGGGTGGGGGGGGTGGTGGGTGGGTGTGGTGGGGTGGGTGTGGTGGGGTGGTGGGTGTGGTGGGGGGGTGGGTGGGTGTGGTGGGTGTGGTGTGGGTGGGGTGGGTGTGGTGGGTGGGGTGGGTGTGTGGGTTGTGGTGGGGTGGGTGTGGTGGGGTGGGGTGGGTGTGGTGGGTGGGGTGGGTGGGTGGGGTGGGTGGGTGGGGGGTGGGGGGGTGGGTGGGTGGGGTGGGTGGGTGGGGGGGGTGGGTGGGGTGGGGGGGGTGGTGGGGTGTGGTGGGTGGGTGGTGTGGGGGTGGGTGGGTGGGTGTGGGTGGTGGGTGGGGTGGGTGGGTGGGGTGGGGGGGTGTGGGGGTGGGGGGTGGGTGGGTGGGTGGGTGGGTGGGGTGGGTGTGGGTGTGGTGGGTGGGTGGGTGGGTGGGTGGGGGTGGGGTGGGTGTGGTGGGTGGGGTGGGTGGGTGGTGGGTGGGGTGGGTGGGTGGGTGTGGTGGGTGGGTGGGGGGGTTGGGGGTGGGTGTGGTGGGTGTGGTGGGTGGGGGTGGTGGGTGTGGTGGGGGTGTGTGGGTGGGTGGGTGTGGTGGGTGGGGTGGGGGGTGGGGGGTGTGGTGGGGTGGGGTGGGTGGGTGGGGTGGGTGGGGTGTGGTGGTGGGTGGGTGTGGTGGGTGGGGTGGGTGGGTGTGGTGGGTGTGGTGGGTGGGGTGGGTGGGTGTGGTGGGTGGGGTGTGGTGGTGGGTGGGTGTGGTGGGTGTTGTGTTTGGGTGTGGTGGGTGTGGTGGGTGGGGTGGGTGGGTGTGGTGGGTGGGGTGGGTGGGTGTGGTGGGTGGGGTGTGGTGGTGGGTGGGTGTGGTGGGTGTTGTGTTTGGGTGTGGTGGGTGTGGTGGGTGGGGTGGGTGGGTGTGGTGGGTGGGGTGTGGTGGTGGGTGGGTGTGGTTGGTGTTGGGGGTGGGTGGGGTGGTTGTGTCCCCCGTGCCCGAATGTCCCCCCCACCCCCTCACCCCCCTCTCTCACCCCCACCCCCCCCACCCCCCCCACCCCACCCCCCCCCCCCCCCCCCCCCAGGTGTGCAGTGCCGGTTCCCGCACCTACGTCCACGAGAAGGTCTATGATGAGTTTGTGGAGCGGTCCGTCGCCATGGCGAACGCTCGCAGATTGGGGGATCCCTTCCACCCGGACACACAGCAGGGTCCACAGGTAGGGGGGGGGCAGGTGGGGGGCACGGTCACCGTGAACCACACCCACCCACACGGTCACCCACCCACCCACACGGTCACCCACGCACCCACACACACGGTCACCCACCCACCCACACGGTCACCCACCCACCCACACGGTCACCCACCCACCCACACGGTCACCCACCCACCCACCCACACAGTCACCCACCCACACGGACACCCACCCACCCACACGGCCGTCGTGAACCCCACCCACCCACACGGTCACCGTGAACCCCACCCGCCCCACCAACCCGCCCCACCAACCCGCCCCACCAACCCCGCCATCTTCCCCCCCCCACGCCGCCGCCGCCGCCGCAGGTGAACGAGGCCCAGTTCTCCCGCGTCTCGTCCTTCGTGCGCTCGGCCCTAGCGGAGGGCGCCGCGCTGGCCTGCGGCGGCCCGGAGGGCCACCCGGCGGGGCCGCTCTACGCCCGCCCCACCGTCCTGACGGGCCTCCCCGACGGGGCCCGGGCCTGCCGCGACGAGGCCTTCGGCCCCGTGCAGAGCCTCTTCCGCTTCGGGCGCCTGGACGAGGCGCTGGCACGGGCCGACGCGTCCCCCCACGGCCTCGCCGCCGGCGTCTTCACCGCGGGCCTGGGCGCGGCGCTGAGGGCAGCCGGCGCTCTGCGCGCCGGCACCGTCTGGGTGAACTGCTACAACGCCGACGCGCCGCAGACGCCGTTCGGCGGTTTCCGCGCCTCGGGCGTCGGCAGGGAGCTCGGCGAGCTGGGGCTGGCGGCCTACGCCGAGGCGAAGACCGTCACCGTGAGGTTGCCGGTGGCGGCGGCGCTGCCGCCGGTGGTGCCGCCGGTGGTGCCGGTGGTGCCGGTGGTGCCGGTGCCGGCGGCGGCGAAGGGCGGCTCGTTCGAGTGAGGGGGCGCGGTGGAGGTGGGGGGGCGGTGGTTTGGGTGGGACGGGTGGATTTATTGTTGGGTGGGTTCATGGTGGTGTGGGGTGGGTTGGGTGGGTTCATAGTGGGTGGGGTGGGTGGGTTCATGGTGGTGTGGGGTGGGTTGGTGGGTTCATGGTGGTGTGGGGTGGGTGGGTGGGTCCATAGTGGGTGGGGTGGGTGGGTGGGTCCATAGTGGAGTGGGTGGGTTCATGGTGGGTGGGTTCATAGTGGGTGGGGTGGGTGGGTTCATAGTGGGTGGGGTGGGTGGGTTCATAGTGGGTGGGGTGGGTGGGTTCATAGTGGGTGGGGTGGGTGGATTTATAGTTGGGTGGGTTCATACGTGGGGTGGGTTCATAGTGAGTGGGGTGGGTGGATTTATAGTGGGTGGGGTGGGTGGATTTATAGTTGGGTGGGTTCATATGTGGGGTGGGTTCATAGTGGGTGGGGTGGGTGGGTTCATAGTGGGTGGGGTGGGTGGATTTATAGTGGGTGGGGTGGGTGGATTTATAGTTGGGTGGGTTCATATGTGGGGTGGGTTCATAGTGGGTGGGGTGGGTGGGTTCATAGTGGGTGGGGTGGGTGGGTTCATAGTGGGTGGGTGGAGTGGGTGGGTTTATAGTGGGTGGGGCGGGTGGGTCCATAGTGGGTGGGTTCATAGTGGGTGGAATGTTGTATATACAGGCCTTTTTCCATTTTGATTTTTTGATATTAATAATGATTTTGCCAATGTAATTTTTTACATGTATAATCACTCGCGGGGTCGCTGGGAGCAGCTGTCTTGTCACTCTCGCAAAGATAACGACACCCTCCCCTCCCGCCAACGGAAAGGGTCAGTCATAAAGTCAAATAAAAAAACACACACGCCCCCCCACCCGGAGGAAGGATAACAAACAGGCTTTTCGTTTTGGTTAACTTTTTCACGCTTCCGCGAACAAATGGTAAAAATTCCTAACATTATCGACCCTCGCAACTCACTCCAATTAAAAACCAGGCCACAATCTACATCGGCGGATCATTACTCATGTATTCATTCAATGCTAATGTTATTTTCACCTTGAATAATTCTCTACATGACCTGACCCAAAGCATCAATAATTATTCTGGCAGTCAGGGTTGTTCCTAAGCCCAAAACGAATTCTCTAACCTCGGCATATCAGATACTAACAGTGACTCGAGAACAAAGCAGCACAAACCCAGGATACAGGCGGTGGAACGAAACTTAATAAACCCTAAGAAATACGTGGTGATGACAATGTTAAATCGCAAATCTTGGGAAACACAAATCAAATAATAATAATTATGCAGTATTAAACCGAGGGTTATCCAGAAGAGACGGGGCGAAATAGGCCAAACCTACACAACGAAGAGAAACTGCATCCCATGGGAAAAGAGCCTCCCAACCGTCTTTGTCTTCCCGCAGCACGGGATAGCAAAGAACGTAACGCCCAGAGCGAGGGACATTACTCTCACAGAGAGATTCGATTGCAGGTGGGGCATCTGCGTTCCACGGATGAGGAGGGGCGACAGTAGTCAAGCCAGGGAAAGACACAGATGGCTTAATAAATGACACACACAACAACAACAACAACCGCCATTCGCCACTAAGTGGCGGTGACGTCACCACGACGCTTGTGCCAGGCTATGTGCACCCTGAGGCAACGTGAAGTGTCGAACGCCCGCTGGCAGGAGGTCACGGGGCAGACCCAGGTGCCACGGGTCGACTGACTGGGATGACTGGCTGATGCACCACCTGTGCCCCCTACTGTGCCAACCTGCTGCGCTTCAGCCACCCGGCGCTCCACTCGTTGTTGTGAGCGTCGCTCCTCCGCCCTCCGTTGCCGTTGGAGGGCGACTGCCTCCAACTGCCCAGTAGCAGCGTCCTTCACGAGCCTCCTCCACACACACACACACGGACACACGGACACATGTACAACCTCCCCCCACAACACAACACAGAGCGAGATCAAAGGAATTTGCGGTCCTTTGTGAGAAGGCGAGCCGAGGAGAAGACATTTTGGCGTAAAAAGAGCGGCACGGGCCGCACATCGCACCGCAGGGCGGACGTCAGCTACCGAAGATGGCAGCCGGCCGGTCTACCGACGCGGGAGATCACCACCGACGCGGAAAGGAGAAGCCTGCCAGCAGACGAGGACTCCGAAAACTCCGAAAACTCATCCACGATGGCGAAGGCCCCGCCAAGCAGCGACACGCCGCGCCGTGCGAATTCGCCGCCGCCGGATCGAAGCATCGCCCGGAATGGTCGCTCCGCTCCGCTCAGCTCCAGGCGGAACGACCCGCAAGCGTGACGGGAACCCCGGCGGCCGTCCGCGAGACCGGGGGGGGGGCGGAGGGCGGAGGGCGGAGGGCGCCGGGCGTCGACCGAGCCCGCCGCCGGCGGAACGAAAGCACCCTTTGGTCCTGGTCCGGCAAAAAAGTCGCGCGACTTTTCGCCGGACCAGGACCAAAGGGCGTGGGTCCGTGCAGCCACGAAGGCTTCGAATCTCGACACGAAAGGCATCGTCCGCCGCCAGGGAGCCGGAGCGGCTCACCGTCCACCACCCACACGCGAAAACCCACGACGCTCCCGGCGTCTGCTCACGCGGTTGGGAGACCGTTTATACTGGTAGGAAGGAGGTTGTGAACTGAGCGTACCAGCCTGCAATAGATTCATGTGTCCGTCCGTCCGTCCATCCGTCCGTCCCCTTTCAATACTTTAACGAAGTGAAATCTCGTGTGACTGTCATCCTTTATTTAACCACGTGAGTGACGTCATTGAGAGTCACTCTCTTGACATCCTTTATACTGGTAGGAAGGAAGTTGTGAACTGAGCGTACCAGCCTGCAATAGATTAATGTGTCTGTCCGTCCGTCCCCTTTCAATGCTTTAACGAAGTGAAATCTCGTGTGACTGCCATCCTTTATTTAACCACGTGAGTGGCGTCATTGAGAGTCACTCTCTTGTCGCTGGCACCCTTTATTTAACCACGTGAGTGACGCCATTGAGAGTCACTCTCTTGTCACTGACATCCTTTATTTAACCACGTGAGTGACGTCATTGAGTCACTCTTGTCACTGACATCCTTTATTTAACCAAGTGAGTGACGTCATTGAGAGTCACTCTCTTGTCACTGACATCCTTTATACTGGTAGGAAGGAAGTTGTGAACTGAGCGTACCAGCCTGCAATAGATTAATGTGTCCGTCCGTCCGTCCCCTTTCAATACTTTAACGAAGTGAAATCTCGTGTGACTGTCATCCTTTATTTAACCACGTGAGTGACGTCATTGAGAGTCACTCTCTTGTCACTGACATCCTTTATACTGGTAGGAAGGAAGTTGTGAACTGAGCGTACCAGCCTGCAATAGATTAATGTGTCCGTCCGTCCGTCCCCTTTCAATACTTTAACGAAGTGAAATCTCGTGTGACTGTCATCCTTTATTTAACCACGTGAGTGACGTCATTGAGAGTCACTCTCTTGTCACTGACACCCTTTATTTAACCACGTGAGTGACGTCATTGAGAGTCACTCTCTTGTCGCTGACATCCTTTATACTGGTAGGAAGGAAGTTGTGAACTGAGCGTACCAGCCTGCAATAGATTAATGTGTCCGTCAGTCCGTCCCCTTTCAATGCTTTAACGAAGTGAAATCTCGTGTGACTGTCATCCTTTATTTAACCACGTGGGTGACGTCATTGAGAGTCACTCTCTTGTCACTGACATCCTTTATTTAACCACGTGAGTGACGTCATTGAGAGTCGCTCTCTTGTCACTGCCATCCTTTATTTAACCACGTGAGTGACGTCATTGAGACTCACTCTCTTGTCACTGTCATCCTTTATTTAACCACGTGAGTGACGTCATTGAGAGTCACTCTCTTGTCACTGACATCCTTTATACTGGTAGGAACCCAGTTGTGAACTGAGTGTACCAGCCTGCAATAGATTAATGTGTCCGTCCGTCCGTCCCCTTTCAATACTTTAACGAAGTGAAATCTCGTGTGACTGTCATCCTTTATTTAACCACGTGAGTGACGTCATTGAGAGTAACTCTCTTGTCGCTGACATCCTTTATTTAACCACATGAGTGACGTCATTGAGAGTCACTCTCTTGTCACTGACATCCTTTATTTAACCACGTGAGTGACGTCATTGAGACTCACTCTCTTGTCACTGTCATCCTTTATTTAACCAAGTGAGTGACGTCATTGAGAGTCACTCTCTTGTCACTGACATCCTTTATACTGGTAGGAACCCAGTTGTGAACTGAGTGTACCAGCCTGCAATAGATTAATGTGTCCGTCCGTCCGTCCCCTTTCAATACTTTAACGAAGTGAAATCTCGTGTGACTGTCATCCTTTATTTAACCACGTGAGTGACGTCATTGAGAGTCACTCTCTTGTCACTGACATCCTTTATACTGGTAGGAAGGAAGTTGTGAACTGAGCGTACCAGCCTGCAATAGATTAATGTGTCCGTCCGTCCCCTTTCAATACTTTAACGAAGTGAAATCTCGTGTGACTGTCATCCTTTATTTAACCACGTGAGTGGCGTCATTGAGAGTCGCTCACTTGTCACTGACATCCTTTATTTAACCACGTGAGTGACGTCATTGAGAGTCACTCTCTTGTCGCTGGCACCCTTTATTTAACCACGTGAGTGACGTCATTGAGAGTCACTCTTGTTGCTGGCATCCTTGATTTAACCACGTGAGTGACGTCACTGAGAGTCACTCTCTTGTCACTGCCATCCTTTATTTAACCACGCGAGTGACGCCATTGAGAGTCACTCTCTTGTCGCTGACATCCTTTATCTAACCACGTGAGTGACGTCATTGAGAGTCGCTCTCGTGTGACTGTCATCCTTTATTTAACCACGCGAGTGACGTCATTGAGAGTCACTCTTGTCACTGTCGCCCTTTAGTTAACCACGGAAGTGACGTCATTGAGAGTCACTCTTGTCGCTGACATCCTTTATTTAACCACTGAGTGACGTCATTGAGAGTCACTCTCTTGTCGC